GAAATTTTCGTTTTTCTATTTGGGCTGCCCCGCCTCAGCGGGATACAGCCGGTTTGTTGAAAAAAAAAAAAAAAAAAAAAAAAAAAATTTATAGCAGTTCTTGTCATTTCATAACCAATGTTCTGACACTAGTATTAGGTACTGAAATTGTCACAAACACACTGACAAGTGGACTTTTACACCTTCCTTGCTCATTTACTATTGTCTGAGAATATATTTATAGGTCCCAGCAATGTTTTGGATATGTGGAAGTATATAATGATGATGAGGAAAAGGAGGAGGAAAAGGAGGAAAAGGAGGAGGAAAAGGAGGAGGAGGAAAAGGAGGAGGAGGAGGAAAAGGAGGAGGAGGAGGAAAAGGAGGAGGAAAAGAGGAGGAGGAAAAGGAGGAGGAAGAGGAAAAGGAGGAAAGAGGAAAAAGAGGAAAAGGAGGAAGAAAAGGAGGAGGAAAATTAGGAGGAGGAGGAGGAGGAAAAGGAGGAGGAAAAGGAGGAGGAGGAAAAGGAGGAAAAAGGAGGAGGAAAAGGAGGAGGAAAAGGAGGAGGGGGAAAAAGGAGGAGGAAAAGGAGGAAAAGGAGGAAAAGGAAGAAAAGGAGGAGGAGGAAAAGGAGGAAGAAAAGGAGGGAGGAGGAAAAGGAGGAGGAGGAAAAGGAGAAGGAAAAGGAGGAGGAAAGGAAAAGGAAGAGGAGGAAAAGGAATAGGAGGAAAAGGAAAGGAGGAAAAGGAATAGGAGGAAAAGGAGGAGGAAAAGGAGGAGGAGGAAAAGGAGGAGGAGGAAAAGGAGGAGGAAAAGGAGGAGGAGGAAAAGGAGGAGGAAAAGGAGGAGGAGAATAGGTAATAAGAAGTTCCCTTGAAGCATGAAAAACAAAGTCCACTCGACAGTGACATGGTAAGATGAGATAACATTTTATAAGAGCTGATGTTTTATGAGCATATGCGAGGGTGCAGTGATAAGACTTGATAAGAAAAGATTAGGGCCTGCTTTGTTTTCGCTGGTACACAAACATGTCTTTCTGTGTCTGTCAAGCTCCCTGTCGATCTGTCTATCCATCTAGCTCTCTGTCTCAGACAGAGCCACAAGACTGCGTCATCATGTTTACTCATATCTTCAAGCAGAGTATAGCACTTTGTCTGGATTTTTTTGGGTTATCCTAGGTAATTTACACTGTATACTTGTATTTATGTGTACCTGTGAGACAGAGATAGAGACAGACAGGGAGAGACAGAGACAGACAGGGATAGACAGAGATAGACCGAGATAGACATAGATACAGACAAACGGAGATAGAGCCAGGCCGCCAGCGGCCGGCCAGCCATGCAGCTGGCCAGCCAGCTAGCCAATCAGCCAGCCAGAATTGCTTCTCTTTACTTAGGGCATAGGTTATAAGACATTCTGAAAGGGTGTTGCACAAATGTTGCACATGGGTTATTATTGAGGTTTTTTATATTTCCTCGACCACTTATGGCCACATCCACCACAAAGCCACTAAACTCACGGTCAAAATCACTTTTCTCTTAAAATGGGAGAGTTAATACCACATGAAATCAGTGAATCCCAGGTGTTTGCTGTGTTGTTTGCTCTAGCAGGTGCTCATTTGAACTGGTGCTCCCACAAGGTACTAAGTGGTCCCAGACTTTTTTAATACAGTGCACACTGAGTGTTAAGACCCATTCTATGCTGACAAGGCATCTCAGGCCAATCACACCAAATTTGAAGGCAGGAAAAATAAAACGTATATATACGTTTGGGGCACTAGCGGTAAAAACGTATATATACGTTTGGACCATTTACGGGTTAAATATTAATATCAGAAGACACTCCCAAAAATTCCCACAGGTCCCAATATGTCCCACAGTAATTATGACATTTTATTCATTCTAGAGTATATATCATGTTTCTATGTTAGTTTTATTGTTTGTTGTGTCATATTAGATGAACTGTGATATATAAATAAGCCGTATAGATGATATTAGCGAAATTATTCATGAAGTATTTTGCCAGGTCTCCAGACAAACTCTCGTCCACCGTCGACACCGCCCATACCACTACATAAATGACATTTTATTCATTCTAGAGTATATATCATGTTTCTATGTTATTTATATTGTTTGTTATGTCATATTAGATGAACTGTGATTGATAAGCCGTATAGATGATATTAGCTAAATTATTCATGAAGTATTTTGCCTGGTCTCCAGACGAACGCGTCCACCACCGACACCGCCCATACCACCACATGAATGATACGTTTTATTCATTTTAGAGTAGTATATATATCAGGTTCGTATGTAATTTATATTGTTTATTATGTCATATTAGATGAAGTGAGATAGATAAACAAGCCGTAGAGTTGATATTAACGAAATTATTGAAGTACAGAATTCCACTGGAACGGATTAAGTGCATTTCAATTAATTTAAATGAGGAAAATTGACACTGCAAATGAGCAAATCCAGTTGCGACCAAGGTCATAGAACGGATTAAACTCGCAAGTAGAGGTTCCAATGTACTTGTAAATTTACAGAACATTCAGAAACTGCATAAATTAAGAATAAGTTGATTTTAATATAACTAAAACAAGCTAACTCACTGAAGATTAAAAGATAAGTAGACCAAGGCATTATAGTCCCATCCAGGGAAGTGTCCTTGACCCTCTTCTCTTTCTCGTTTACATAAATGACCTATCAGGGCATCGCAATTACTCAAACCCACACTATTTGCAGATGACACTACATACGTCTTCTCTCACCCGAGCCCAGTCATGCTAGCCAATACTGTGAATACCAAATTACAGAAAATATCTACCTGGATGAGGACTAACAAACTTACTCTAAACATTGACAAAACCTACTTCATTCAGTTTGGTAACAGAGCTACAGATGTCCCTCTTAACATAATGATAAATGGATCACCTATCACAAAGCTCACAGAGGGAAAATTCTTAGGAATCCACCTTGATAATAGACTCAAATTTCAAACACGCATACGACAAATTTCCAAGAAAATTTCCAAGACCGTAGGCATACTATCGAAGATACGGTACTATGTTCCACAGTCAGCCCTCCTGGCCCTATATCACTCACTTATTTACTCCTATCTCACCTATGGAATTTGTGCATGGGGCTAAACAACAATAAACCATCTCAGACCATTAATTACCCAACAATAGGCTGCAGTCAGAATAACAAATTCCCGCTACAGGCAGCCCACTCCACCAATATTCAAAACTCTAAACCTACTCACCATACAAAACATCCATACTTATTATTGTACCTACTACATACATAGAACACTTAACTTGGATATAAACCCTCCCCTCAAACGTCTCCTTACCAACCTCAACAGAACACATGACCATAACACAAGGCACAGATCACTCTTTGATATTCCTCGTGTCCATCTCACACTATGCAAAAACTCAATGCACATAAAAGGTCCAAAAATCTGGAATTCACTACCTGTGAATATAAAAGAAACACTTTCTGTTTATAAATTCAAGTCTATTCTTAAAAATCACTTACTCACCCACAACCAAATAAATACTGAATAATTGTATCTCATAAATGTTTAACCTGTGACCCAATCAAACTTTGTTTATTTTTAATTACATTATCTAACAGAATACTCCATTCTACTCAATGCACAGCAACACAGTAAATGACAATATGACCTGTCTTTGTAATACTCATTTGTGCTTAATTGTTAACTGTTTACAACAATGTTTACCACTGAATATATCATTGCTTAGTTAATCTTAAGTTAATTTTAAGCCTGCCCATAATTCTCTGCATACAAGGGGCTTTGGCATGTTACACTTAACCACTATTTCCTTTTACTTCTATGTTCTTTCTTTCAACACACCGAAAGTTTCTCTCTTAAATTTAGCAATTTATATGGGAGAAGGGGTTACTAGCCCCTTGCTCCCGGCATTTTAGTCGCCTCTTAGAACACGCATGGCTTACGGAGGAAGAATTCTGTTCCACTTCCCCATGGAGATAAGAGGAAATAAACAAGAACAAGAACTAGAAAGAAAATAGATGAATACCCAGAGGGGTGTGTATATATATGCTTGTACATGTATGTGTAGTGTGACCTAAGTGCAAGTAGAAGTAGCAAGACATACCTGAAATCTTGCATGTTTATGAGACAGACAAAAGACACCAGCAATCCTACCATCATGTAAAACAATTACAGGTTTTCGTTGTGCACTCACTTGGCAGGACGGTAGTACCTCCCTGGGTGGTTGCTGTTTACCAACCTACTACCTATGTATCATGTTCAAATTAACAAATAAATAAATAAATCATTACTAATTTTCCTAAACATTATACAGTGGACCCTCGAATTCCATCATCCCTTTCCTGTATGTAAAACTATAGTTATTCTCTGTAAAATGTATTTTTTCTTAATATTTCCCATAAGACATAATGCAAATCCAATTAATCCATTCCAGACACCCAAAAATATTAACAAAAAATACATTTTATAGAGAATAACTACAGTTTTACATACAAACAAGGGCATACGAAAACTGAGGTTCCATTGTAACTATGTAACACAACACTCACTCACTCAGTAATTCCGTACACAAGTAATTATATACCTACATACTGTATAAGCAAATCTGTTTAATACTTTATTGTAAACAACTTATTCTAATACAGTATAGAATAATCAAGGAGTTTATAAATCCCATCAGCAAATTACTTCAAAAAATATTGTACTGCATCAACATAACTAATGTTATTTAACTTTGTTTTTTTTTGGCTTTACTTTAACGTCTGTTCACTGAATAGAATTTACATTTTTAGTAGCATCCGAGAACCCAAGAAAAACATAATAATGGAGGATATTTCCCTACTATGAATACAAATAACTTTCCCTTCTTTCTTAATCAATCTGACAGGTAATTATGAATTTTTTCCAAGAAAAATCAAATTCTATTTATTTTCAAAAGTATCAAGAATCAAGCCAGAAAGTAAAAAACACAAAACATTCACCTCGTGAAATGCTGAATCAACGTTGAGGGGTGGATCCTTGGCACTCGTCTCAATATATGAAAGGTTGAGTCTATGGGCTAATTCTCGTCCCATCTCCTCCGTTACTTTTCGCATGTGAACCAAATCTACTTTGTTGGCCACCAGCAGCATTGGGTAAGATTCTCTGTGGAAAGAAAGTAGCCATCAGAGGGACCACTGAGACAATGACCTGTACTCCTAGCACACACTGTTGCATAGCATCAGGAGTGCACTTGATCTATAACTTTCACTGCAACAGAATGTTCTGCCTTGGCAAAGGCTGTATACAGATCTGAAAGGGTCAGAGCCTGCAGAATGGGAGGTATTTAAGTTTGATCCAAAGTAGGCAAGGGTAGCTCAACTTCCATCAAGAGCCCTTCACCTGCAACAAGGCACCCCTCACAAGTGGCAAAATAGTGCATGAACAACCAGTCTTCAACGGGTGTCTGAGAAGCATCACTTTGGTTATTCTACAGCTACTAACAACTGTCAGGGTAGAAGCAGATTATTTAACTACCAATAAATCTAGAAGATATGTTCAAGGCCCAAATAATGGACTCAGGAAGAAGGAACACTAATCATCAGTTAGCAACATTTGACAGATAACTGGACAAATAATTGTAAGCATTACTGCATTCACAGGGGAAACCAGTTATCACTGTTGCAGTGCAAGCACATTAATATCAAATTGGGAAAACTAAGCCAGTTATCCAGAAATGAACTTTGGAGTCTGACATAATCTGCTTGCACTTTTAAAGTCACATTTGCACATTGCAGTTTATTAAGTCATCATCAGGCCAAGATCTCTATACCCATCTGCAAAAACAGGTAAGAAGCAAATGATAGCAAGTACACTTTGTTTTTATGATCATACTTCCCTGATGGAAAAATATGTAGCCCATATTTTAAAATGAGTCATGTTACTTAAAAATGATCTATATATTTGTTTTAAAATGACCAATGTTTTAAAATAACCCATTTTAAAACAAATTTATTAGTGTATAGGACAAATGAGAGGGGTATGCCTGGTATACTATCTCAATATACAACATAGGACAAATGAGAGAGGTATCCCTTGTATGTCTCAATATACATTACAATACAAACAACATAATCTTAAATGTAAAATAACCTCTATCTCAATCTTTATTCCCATGTCGTTGTGCATACATACATGCACATCCCCATCCACACTCACAGGTACAACCACTCAAGATCTACCTTGGTTCCTCCATGAAATTTTGGTGTTACTCAGGATATTCATGTCTATCAAGTGATATCTGCAACAGCTGTGTTATTCATTCTGGAAGCGATAATAATTAACAAAATGTTTAAAAAAGCAACAGCACCGTACAATAATACTGTAACAAACAACATTAAATGAACAAGTCGTATAGCTAGAAAGACGTTACTTCAGGATTAAGGTCTGCCGAGGTCGGGTCATCTCAAGGGGATGACAATGCTGCTATTAAATGCACAACATGCATATTATCACTGAGTTGTATGTCTGAGGGGAAGTCTATATATAGTCTTCTGTATATATCTTGGTAGAATTACCGACAATATGTAAAGTAAAATGACAAGTGCAACTAACATGACATTTTATTGTGACAATGTGAAACGTTGCCACAATAAAATGTCACATTAGTTGCACTTGTGTCCTTTTACTTTACATAGTCTTCTGGAATAATGATACCTTTGATATACCTTTGAAGAAATTCGAGAGTATATCTACTCTCTGAGCCCGGCCATGGGCCAGGCTCGTCTGGTGCTCGCCTGGTCAACCAGGCTGTTGCTACTGGAGGCCCGCTGCCCCACATATCCATCACAGCCTGGTTGATCTGGCACCTAGTGAAGATACTTGTCTAGTTTCCTCTTGAAGGCTTCAACACTTGTTCCAGCAGTGTTTCTGATATCTTCTGGTAAGATGTTGTAAAGTCTGGGACACCGGATGTTGATACAGTGTTCCCTTATTGTCCCCACCGCAACCCTGCTCCTCACTGGGTTTATTTTACACTTCCTCCCATATCTCTCACTCCAGTATGTTGTTATGGCAGTGTGCAGATTTGGGACCAAGCTCTTGAGTACCTTCCAGGTATATACAGTGGTCCCTCGTTTTTTGTATTTAATCCGTTCCTGGAGGTGCTACTATTATCGAAATCTACGATTTTCGAATCAATTTTCCCCATAAGAAATAATGTAAATACAATTAATCCGTTCCTGACACCCAGAAGTATCAACAACAATTTTTTTTACCTTAAAGATAGATTTACATGCACAAAAGAATGAACATTCAACATGACAGTTACCTTTATTTACCTGTTGCAGTGTTCCTACTTTCTTAAGTTCTTATGTTCTTATTTAACATCACACTTACCAGTAGGGTGATCGAGGCTAGGACCTTGGGTAGCTTTAAGAAGAGATTGGACAAATATATGAGTGGGAGGAGCTGAGTTTGATTTGTGTCATTGGGTACGGGAGTAAATTCTTGGGTAGCTTTGGGTAGAGGTCATTTTGATAAGGACCTGCCTTGTATCGGCCAGTAGAACTGCAGTGTTCTTCCATTGTTATGTTCTTAGTGGGAAGGATTGTAAAGGACCTGCCTAGTATGGGTTAAATCTGAGTGGGGATCTGTAACAAGTGGCGTTCCGCAGGGATCAGTTTTAGGCCCATTATTGTTTATTATATAAACGACCTTGATGAGGGAATTACTAGTGACATAAGCAAATTTGCTGATGACACGAAGATAAGTAGGATAATCGATTCAGACGTTGATGTCTCGCAACTTCAGGAGGATTTAGAAAAACTCAATTCGTGGTCAGAAAAGTGGCAGATGCAGTTCAATGTAGATAAATGTAAAGTTCTAAAGCTCGGAAATGTCCATAACCCTAGCACCTACCAGCTTAATAATGTTGAACTTAGCCGTATAGAATGCAAGAAGGATTTGGGAGTTATGGTAAGCAGCAACCTTAAACCAAGACAACAGTGCCTAAGCGTGCGTAATAAGGCAAATAGATTGCTGGGATTTATATCAAGAAGTGTAAGCAACAGAAGTCCAGCGGTTATACTTCAGCTTTATACATCTTTAGTAAGGCCTCACCTAGATTATGCAGCTCAGTTCTGATCTCCATATTACAGAATGGATATAAATTCGTTAGAAAACATTCAGCGTAGGATGACTAAATTAATACATAGCATTAGAAATCTTCCTTATGAAGAAAGATTGAAGACCCTTAAATTACATTTACTTGTTAGATGAAGAATGAGGGGAGACATGATCGAAGTGTATAAGTGGAAGATGGGTATTAATAAGGGGGATATTAGCAAGGTCTTGAGGATATCTTTCCAGGAGAGAACCCGCAGTAATGGAATCAAATTGGACAAGTTTAGATTTCGAAGGGATGTAGGAAAGTATTGGTTTGGAAATAGGGTAGTTGATGAGTGTAACAGTCTACCTAGCTGGGTTATTGAGGCTAAAACCTTGGGTAGTTTCAAATATAGGTTGGATAAATACATGAGTGAGAGGGGTTGGATCTGAGTGGGAGTTGCATATGAGAGTGGATAGAGTTATCAGAGCTTATTTCTTGGGTGGCATTGAAAATTGGGTTGGGCAAATGTTTTATTAGTGGGATGGATTGTAAAGGACCTGCCAAGCATATGTCAACAGACCTGCTGCAGTGTTCTCCTTTCTTATGTTCTTATTGGAGACTTGTTTGTGTGAGGGAGGGATAGCAAGTTTATTGTTGGAGAATATGACAGTAATATCAACTCTACAGCTTATTTATCTATCACAATTCAACTAATATGACATAATAAACAATATTAATAACATAGAAACATGGAATATACTCTAGAATGAATAAAATAAGTCATTATGTATGTCACGAGAGGTGTTGTGTTGTGTTGTTGTTGGGTGTATAAGGGCCACGGAGAGTAAGCCGTCCATAATGGTGCTGAAGCAGCAGCTGAGGCGGTGGTGTTTTCTGTAGCCCTATATAACTCCAATAACACTGGAGGAGTTGGTAGAATTGCTGAACCACTGAAGAAGACGCCCTCTACCACCATCACTACCACCTTCTACCACTATTACAACTGCTACCACCTTCTACCACTATTATAATGCTACCACCATCACTACCACCTTCTACCACTGTGGAAATAAATGGTATAAAATACAGACACAATGGAAATATAAACACATATACAGTATAATGTGATCCTTTATTGACAATGTTTTGCCCACACAGTGGGCTTTTTCAAGTCACAAACACATCTACCTGGGGTGGAAGGTACGCGAGTATTTATAGACAGGTTCAGAATGTTGAGATCAGGTGGACTCTCTAACTTTAGACTCTATAACCCCACTCGGTACATCATCAGATGCAGCATTCTCCACCTGATCTCAGCATTCTGAACCTGACTATACATACTTGTGTACCTTCCATCCCAGGTAGATCTGTTTGTGACTTGAAAAAGCCCACTGTGTGGGCGAAAAGTTGTCAATAAAGGATCACACTATACTGCATATGTGTTTATATTTCCACCTTCTACCACTATTACAATGCTACCACCATCACTACCACCCTCTACCACCATCAACCACTATCACAAATGCTTCCACTCTACCACCACCTTCATATTTTTCTACAAACTTTTTCTTAAATTGTTGTGTTTCTCACATTTTTTACCAAAGGGCTGGCACTAGAAGCTTTCTTCGGAGCCATGGTGACTTATTTAGCAGTTGCAAACACTAAACGAATGGAATATTATGAAATATATCGTATGAACTTGTGGGATCATCCTCACTCACTGATAAACAATGGCACACTGGCTGGGAAAGGAGTGTGAGGCGGCTCAGGGCTGTGTGTACCTGTCCCGGACGAACTACTATTCGCGAGTCAATTTACGATTAGCGAGCCCATGTTTATACGAAAATATCGCTATGATTTCCGAAATCTACGACTCTCGAGCCCTACGATTATCGAGGGACCACTGTATTATCATATACCTCTCTCTCCTCCGCTCCAATGAGTACATGTTCAAGACTTGCAGACGTTCCCAGTAGTTTAGGTGCTTTACTGGCTCAATGTGAGCCATGAACGATCTCTGTATTTGTTCCAGCTCTGATATTTCTCCTGCCCTGAA